AATGGATTTTTTGTAGTATGACAGAGAAAGATGCCTATCTTCGTACTAAGTAGAAATTAGTAAATTGAGAGTAGAATTCTAAATTCTAATTCTTTTTTGAAAAAATTTATGAATGATTTTTTTAAACAATATCAATGTAATATATTTTTTTCCTATGCAAAAACGAGATTAATAGTACAATGTATGTCTCGAATGAATGACTATTATTTTTATGAATGATTATTTTTTCTTTTTTTTTTTCCTTTTTGGAAATAAATTATGAAAAGATATGATATTATTTCAAAATATAAGAAAATTATTTTAATGAATTATAAAGATCTATTTATATGAGGCAGCAAAAAAATTAAAAGAGCTTACGATTTATCGATAATCTTGCATGATAAAATATCTGCGCAATTACACAAAATGCGTTACAAATGTTAAACAAACTGTATCGCGTATATGTAAATCATTTTGAATTAACTTAAACCAACATTTGTAGATTAACAACATTGTCAACATTGTCGATTACGTTGACAATTATATTAAGCGTGCGTGAAGACTGAATTACTGTTACAGGATATTTCTAGCAGGTAATTGCGCTGATTGAATCTGGGTTGTAAATAATTTAACTCTAAATAAATAGAAGATATTTTTTATTTTTACGAATAAGTTTGTACACTTCTGTCAACAAGTAAATTCTCCAATTATGAACTAATTTTGCGAAATTATTCTTATTCGATCATATATGAAAAACAAATTTTATTCATTAACATATACTTTAATGTTATATTTTATTATTTGATCTTGGTCGACTTCGAATCGTGGTAGTGTGCGATGATGGAGCTTCTTCGTACTTCAATTTTCACTCTTGCAAGTTTTAAAAAAAACTTGTATTTTTTTATATGCTGTTTAAAGCTTAAAAAACACCTTAATTCGAAGTCTCACAAACTGTACAAAGTATTTTAGAAAAAGGAGGTACAAAGACAATCATCCTGTAACTGTGAGGAAACAATTTTTCAGTGTTATTGAAATAAGAAGCATAAACTAAAATGAGTATCATGTTTTTATTTGTAAACTTGTTTACAACAAGGAAAAATGTAGCGAAGCGAAGAAGAAAGGGTGGGAAAGGGAATAAGAAAAGAAATATAAGTAGTTAAAGAATATAATGAAAAAGATAGTGATGATGAAAAAGAAGAAGGAGCAGGAGGAAGTACGTTGGGTAACAATCGCATATTCTTGATTATAGAGTTACATTATAAAATATAACATCCAATTCGAGAACATAATCTGGTGATCTTATCAGTTTAATAAAATGCGCGTACATATAAATCAAATTCAATAATAATTTATTCGTAATACGATATTCTTTTTTTTTTGTACATTGTCATTAGTATAGAAAGATAAGACAAAATCATATACAATATCACTCTCGCTTTTTATCGAGAACAAATTTTTTTTATTACATGATACTTTAACTATTAATATATAAACAGACTTCCAGTAAACGTTTTGTGTAATACGTTTGAAAATCTGTACATATTTACATGTGTTTATTTCGAGAGCGATAATTCATTGTAAATATTTTAATCTTAATTCTAACTGCATATAGTGTACCCATACGTGACATTCTTCCTCTTGATCGATTTTTCGATTAAAAGTCGTTACAAGACGTTATTTATACGTTACCCCCTTTTATTCGATTTAAAAACTACGTATTTAATACGAATACGTTTCTTTTGTTACGTGCTTTTTCGCGATGATTACTTTTCAATCGTAGTTATATATTATTACAATTTATTTAGTATTGCATTTTGCAACGTAAAATAATTTCACGTGGTGCATGTGTAACGGTGCCTTCACTCGACGAAATCTAAATTGTTGCTCGAGTTATAAAAACGCGTTAGATAACTTTGGAATTCGTATATTGCAAAATATACGAACAAAAATTGTGAATATATTGTCGTGGAAAAATTTGTCCATCTATTTATATGTAATCAAAACCGATGGAGTCGGAATCGACAACACTATGATCTGGAGTTTTTATTTTTTCTTCGTCACTTTGAAGGATAAATCTATGTCCCACTGTGGAATCATTAAATAAAGCAATTATGCTTTTCATTTTGCCTGAAAAAAAATATATATATAGATGCTATCATACAATAAATATCACTTGTGCTATTTCAATAACAACGATAACAAAATGAACAAGATAAATATTATATGAAAATAAAAACTTGTATGAGTCATCTTCATTTTTTGACGCGACAAAATATAAATCAAAATTAACAAATACGATTATCCTCTATTTTCATTTTATTTCGAACTTAAAACTTATATTATCTGTTCAACAAATGAATAGAATCGAAAATATTTAATACCTTATTATTCCACTCTCGTTACATAAATCCTATTAGATTATTGTTTATTTGCTGCTTGTCCACTAGTTGTCGTAGTTTGTCCACTCTGTTGTTGCTGGCCCCAATACTGATTATAATACTGCTGATTCCAACTATTCCAGTTTCCATTACCATAACCTTGTTGATTATAATTGCTTTGATTATACGAGCCTTGTCCATAACCCTTCCAGTTACACCATGGTTGTGATCCCCAATTATTCTGTTGACCCCAACCTTCTTGAGATTGGCCACCTGACCAATTGCCTTGTTGACTCCATACAGATTGTTGTGATCCTTGGTAATTTCTTATAAGAAAATTAACCCACGTGCATAAAATGCTAAGAGTAAAACATTAAAAAAATAGAAAAGATAATTACCCTATTGGAGCTCTTGATCGATTACCTTGTCGAGAATTCAAAGCTCGACCTCTATCATTACCACTTCCTCTTCTATCCCCGTTACCACCTCTTCTGTTCATTCCACGGTGTACGAGCGGAATAGGTATTCCTCTTCTCCTTCGTAACATCGGTGGACCATAACCACTGCCATGTCTTATATGTCCACCTCTTTGTGGTCTATCTCTCCATCCCATATTACCTCGCCAAAGGGGATTACGATTTCTGTCGGAATCTGTTTTTTTTTTAAAATAATTTTTTTTTTTAATTTTATAACTTTTATTAATTAAAGTTTTTTTTTTTTTCATTCTTACAATTGCTTCGTCTGTCACGATAATCTCGATTATCTCTTTCACGATTACTTCGCACATCATTTCGATTTTCATGAGCATTCTCTGATCTCGAATCAGTACGTGGCCGTTTGCTTCTTTGTTGTTCACCATAACCTGCTTCTTTCCCTTCTTTATTATAATTTTCTATAAGTTTTCCACTTTCTTCTTGATCAAGTTCGATCCAATTAATAGCATCAAAATATTCACCAACAACTGGAGCTCTGAAATTTGCTGAAAAAAATCAATGTGTTTTGTAATATATAATATGTACGAAGATATAATGAATGCTACAAATTAAAACCAACCTTTCATTTCCAAAAGCATAGAATCAGTAATCTCTTTGCCTTTTATTGGTTTATGTTTCATAGAACGTGATTTAAATTCTTCTTCTGGTGGAACTATAACTACTGCCTTTCTCTGATATCCACAAAAATTTTTCATTTTACGTCGTTGTGCGGAAGGATATACATTTGTCTATATTCCATTTCATAATATAAAAATGAAAAAATTAAATTAACATATCAATTTAATGTGAATATAAAGAATCAAATTCTTCTAAAAATAAAAATATACCTGATCTAATATATAATTACGTCTTCTACTAGAAGCCATTTCCATTAGTTTGTTTAATGCATCAGTACATTTATCAATAAGTATCTTCCATTGATCTTCATAACCTTCTTTGTAAGATAATCCAGGATCCTTAAAAAATATTAATCAAAATATAAAATAATAATATAGCATAACCAATATATAATTTGTTTATAATACATACTTTCATTTTATTAATTAGACTGCTGAGTCCTAAGATGTTATACATCTTTTGAGGATGCTCAGTTGCATATTTTGTTGCCCAGGTTGTTTTTCCACAAGCGGGTAATCCGCACATCATTATTACTTCACATTCATCTTTTTTCTCTGGCCTTCGTGGTCCAGAAATTTTATATTGTGATTCTACATTTCCGATTGAAACATAATCTTGTAAAATTTCTTCTGTCCATGGTGTTTCTTGGCCAAAATTACATGCAAAACTACAATTTTTACTCAAAATATGTGGAAATAATGGTTTGTCACCGAGTTCTTCTTTAGAAATACTAAACGCTATTCCTTGATCTTTTCCATTAACAGTATAAGAAAGTAGAATATTTTCGGATGTTGCATCGAAATAACAACCGATAATGTCATCTTTTCCAAATTGAAGTCCATAATCTTCGTATTGATTGTCTGTTAATTTTTTACCAGTACTACTATATCCGAAACTAAATTTTTCTTCTCCAAGTTGCATTGAAGTATAAAGAGTAGACCAACCAATTCTAAGAACATGTGGATGTTCTTCATTTTCTGTATTAATGGTACAATGTTCTACTATTTTTGCCTCATAATAAACTTTTCCACAAAGAAAACCATAAGATGCTCTTGCACCAGCCCACATATGTGAAAATCCATCATTATGCATAGGTGTAGCAGTAAAAAATCCATCCTTATCAATAACCAAATTTAAATCTGAATCATCTGAAATATAACAATAATAATTATTTAAACATTTTTTTTATATATTAAAATTACTTTTATTTAATTTTCAACATACACCAAGACAATATTAAAGCAGAATCATCAATTTCTGGTTCATTTTCGGTGAGAATTGGTGGAGGTGAATCATGCCTATCTTCTAAAGGATTAGGAGATCTTTTCCGCTTTCTATCCCTGATGATGTCGTTCGTTTCTCGTTCTTTCATATCTACATCTGTATCTTCTTCGTGTTTAATTTTTGACATTTCTATATCCTTTCCACGTAAACGAAAATAGGTCAATGATTAAAAATAATATTTCCTGTAGGTACAGTAAGATTTTTATGTAACAAAATGTAGAGGACGTAATATTTTACTAGGAAAAATATCCGCGATCTCAAACGTATATTGACGAATTTTAAAATTTTTTTTAAAATTTGTTTTAAAATTTCCAAAAATAAAAGATTTCAAATATTTAAAATTTAACGAATATTTTCAATTTTTTTTTTAACAAGTCTATTTTAATTACAGTCCTCTACATTTTGCTGAGATCGCGGATTACACCACATTACAAAATGTAACAAATAAAGTCAACGAATTTTGCAAAATGATAGAAAAGATATTTGATAAAATGTTAATAAAAAATCAAATTGATTTTATGAAGTTATAATAAATATTTCAATAAATTTGAAATATAACAATATTCTAGGATTTTTAAAAAATTGATTTATAAAGTATACCTCTTCATCTTGCTTTTTGTTGATATTACTATCCATTATTATTTCGCTAGTAGATAAAATATTTTTATCTTCAATTAACTGCTTTTCAGTTTTTAACTCATCACTTTCATTCATATCTATATCTTGCTCTTCAAGTAAATCTTGTTCTTCTGTTTCAGGAATGTCAATAGTTTTAGTATCATTAATAGATTCTACAATATAATCATTATCTACAGATTCTATATTTTCTTCCTCATGTTCAATATTTTCTTTTAATATATCATTTGCCTTATCACATGTCTTATTAATTATAGTTGACATATCATTTTCTTGCATGTCTGAATCAGTGTCTTTTTCTTTTATATCTACAGTTTCTAATTCTTGTAGATTTGTTTTGATTTCTGTTGTTGATTCTTGTTTTTGATTCACATCATCTTTATTATCTAATGATTCTTTTGAAAGTGCAATATCAGTAACATTATACCTCACTGGGGATTTTACTGGTGATTTTATAGAAAGTACTTGTGAATCACTTATATTCTGTTCATTTTCATTATTTTCTGGGAGATCAATATTCTTTACTTCATCTTCCTTTATAATTTCCATGGGACTAGCATTTTTATTTTCTATACTTGATATCAATTCTTTTGTTTCTTTTTCTTCATCTTTTTTAGGCGATAAAGATTTTTCTTTTTGCATAAAAATTTCTCTTTGAATAAAAGTTTCTTCTTGTATAAGAATTTCTTCTTGGGCACGAGTTTCTTCTTGTATAGCAGTTTCCTCCTGTATGGCTGTTTCTTCTTGTATAGCAGTTTCCTCTTGCATAGCTGCTTCTTCTTGCGTAGCAGTTTCTTCTGGTATAGTTTCTTCTTGCAAAGCAGATTCAGATACTGTAGGAGATGGTTCACGAGACATATCATTTTGATCAGTTTTTTTGGGGGATGTCCTCCTTCTAGAATATGGAGTTCTAGTAGTTCTTCGTTTTTTTGTTACAGAGTCTTCTTTTGGTGTCATCACAGGAGCACTTTTAGATAATCTACTAGATTTTTTTGGTGTTTGTGGTATTTTTGTTGATTTTTCATCATTTTCTTGAACTGTATCATCATGTGTATCTTCTGCACTGGCATTTGTTTTTCCTTGATTTATCTCTATAATTTGAAAATATTTATATTACATTAATTTAGAAAGGCAATCAATATAGTATTAAAAAATGTATAAAATATAGTATTTGTTTTTAAAATTTTTAAAAACAATAATTTTTAATAATATTATTCTTTAATTGTAGATATTAATAGAAAAATGATAACAATTTAAGTAAACGTAAATAAAAATTGCTAACTTCAAAACTAATAAGAAGATGTAGAGGCGTCGCATATACAATTCGCACGTAAACAGAAGAAAGGCGCGCATAGTTCGCGCCTATACAGAATAAGAAATATTAAAAAGAAATTCTTTGCGATTAATTACTTCTAATAATTGTAAATATGTTATCATTTTTTATTCAAAGATAATATAATGAAAGAAAAAACAATGAAAATGTTAGATGCATCATTATTGCCTCACTTGAATGTTTGTCAACATTGGAGTACTTGAATACATAGATTGTTAGTTAACGAACATCATACTTCAAAAAATTTGGGATAGCATAAGATTAAAGAATAAGAAGAGAGTAACTTACGATGTGCATTTTCCTCTTCTATTGCCTTACGAAGTCGCTCAACGAGCACTGACTTGATGCCTTTTGTATCGAGTCCACGCTTTGAGAGTTCTGTCCGTAATTCGACTACTTTTAACTTTTCCGGATCCATTGCGCGTAATATTTCACGATTTTTATTAATCCACGCACTTTTATTCGGCAGAAAATCTTACGAAAAGCCCATACACGCGCCAGTGACCCGCGTTAAATATACAATATGGCGATACAACTGCAAACAACGCGTTACGTGTTGTACATGGATTTTATTGGTCAATGTGGCATTTATTTGAACTAACGCCAACTTCACTGCTAATGGAATTATTTGTCCCCATTGCAGTAATATAGTGTAATAATTCTTATTGGTTGTTCGAAGGCGGGATTTTATTTGATTGGTTGAGAGATTATATATGTACATGAAATTCACAAGAACCGCCAATACCATGCAAATTTGTGAGATAAAGTTGTCATACTTGTTGGAATATATCATTTATCAGAATTCATGAAAAGAAAAGTGATTTTTATAAAAATTATACTTTAGTTGATAAAATCATCTATGATAAAAAAAAGATTTTTTATTTAAGTTTCTTTTATCTTTTTAATTGAATTTCATTCAAACAGTCAGATTTTAAAACAACAATTATTACATGATAACTTGCAAAATATGTAGCAGTTTTTATAATCGTTGTAATCATTGTAATCACCAATATTTATCGGAAATTTATTAATTTCATTTTTTTGTTTTTTCTATAATCCTTTTCATGACAGCAATAAACGTAAATTGGTTGCATTCAGTTGAGGGAGAATCATTGATGCATCATTTTTATATAAACACATCTAAGAAAAGGAGATTTTATGGTAAAGAATGATAATTAAATAAATTTTTCTTTATTATATATATTTATTGTTTATTGATTTATCTTTATAAAATGTTTTAGGTATTCTTGAAAGACCACCTTTACCTTCTTCGATTGAAGAAGTTACATATAAAATTTTTATGATTGGAAGATCCGGAGTAGGAAAAACTGCTGTTGTAGCTCGACTTGCTGGAATATTAGAATCTAATACTTATACTGAAACTAATGGAATAAAAAAGACAAATGTATTTTGGCCAGTTAAGATATGGGATAAAGTTGTACTGTTTAAATTGCAATTTTGGGATACTTCAGAAACAAGCATTAAAAAATATAATCACATATTACCTGTATGTGAAATAAAATATATATAAAATATAATAACATGATATAATAGAATACGATATTAAAGAATCACATTATTTAAATTTATAGGCATGCAAAGACAAAGTAGATGCTATATGTTCCGTATTTTCTTTTGATGATGCAACAGGATTTAATGATGTTCCATATTTGATGAATACTATGACAGCCATAAAAGAGAAACCAGCAAATATAGTAATAGGAACAAAGTAATTTATTAAATAATAGATCTTTTATAATTATTTATAATTATTAATAATAGATTTTTTTTTCTTTCTTATATGATGAAAATATTTAAATAAATTTTAAAATATTATAGATTTAAACCATGGTCCAGTTCTACAATAGAAGATGCACGGATAAAAGAATTTGAAGACAAATGGAAAGTTAAAGTTATTAGAATTGATATTAATAAACTTCCTGTAAGATCTGAAGTGTTTGACTGTTCTTATCAGCTAAATACTATATGTAATATTCTTTGGAATAGAGATAAAGAATTTATATCTAAGCAAATGGGACAAAACTAACAAATCTTTCTATATACTTTTACAGTATTTTAAGAAATCTTTAATGATATTTAATAATGATATTTAATAATAAATATTTAATAAATATTTAAAAGGTAAACATTTAATAATTTTTTTTTTTTTTTTTTTACATCAAATTGATTTTTTTTT